TACTGTTTGTTCAGAAACATACTGGCTTTAATTTAGTTCTCGTGATGGCTCTGGACAGAATTGTGCTTCCACTGGAGGAGCAGGTCCATGGTTTGGTGGTGTGTGTGTGGTTGTCTTATGGCCCTGGCTAGAGCAGCAAGTTGAAGGCTAGAAATTTTGTTTTGGTTGGCGTGCCAGTTATAGTCCTTACTGGACCCAGAAGCTCTGGTAGATAGTGGTTCTCTAAAGTGCTATATGTGGGGGTGCTTTTGAGTGACTCAAAGCAACAGTTGAAGAATGCAATGACTAGGCTGCTGGTAGGCAAGTCCCACTTTTACAGCATAATACTTGTTCTTAAACTGCTCTGCTGGTTACATATAAGCTTCTAAGCCCAATTTAAAGTGTTGGTCATGACCTGCAAAACTCTACATGGCGTGGCACTGGGTATTTGAGGTACAGTCTTTTTCAAAATTATTTCTTTTCTGCCCTTTGAGATCATTGAGAGAGATGCTAGAGTCCACCCTTTGAGCTGAGGGGGACAGGCTTTATTTATAGTAGACTTAAAGCTCTGGAACACCTTGCCCCCAGTTTAATCCTTGGTCCCCTCCTTGATGACCTTCTGCAAACCTATGAAAAACATCTTATTTGGGCAAGCTTTTAATGAGTAGTGGTGACCTGAGCTGCTACAGTATTTCTGAAAGTTGATTTTGTTGTCTGTTTTATATTTTATTTTCATTGTATGTGATAAACTGCCCAGAATCATGGGACTGGTATATATAAACAGTTTTAATAAATAAAAAAATATTAGTCCTTATGGGGATTCTTGATTTTTTAAGGCATTCATTAATGCCTTGAAGATTAGAATGTCTTGCAGAACACACAGGCATTTTTGCTTTGCAATGCTTTTAAGTTTTATTATTTCTATGATCTTTTTTTAATCATATTCTGAATGCTAAAATAAAACAATCTGCGCTCTGTTCATTAGCCTTATCGAGGTGGTCTTATTCTTACAGATTCATGTGCTTTTTTCCCTTCCCAATTTCTTATATACAAACTTGTGGTTCTAGGGTTTATTTTAACTCTGGTTTATTTATGAGATGATTGATATAGATAGATAGATAAAAAATTCAGTTTGATACTGATTCATTTTAGAATAAAATGAAAAAGTATTAGCTTACTCAAGAATGACAAGGGATGTTTTTTCACAAGAATCTGTGGCTTGTCACAACTGTGCTGTCCCTAAATGGTTTTTCTGAACTAGCTCACATTCATTCATCCAATCCAGAGTGAGTGATGTTTACTTGTGATAAGATGCATCTATTTTTAAAAAATAATTATTTTACTTGTACCTGCCACAATTAGCAGTCTCCATGTTTCATTAAAAACAATGCTTGAGAGCCTATACAGAAATATGAGTATCAGTGACATTTTTCTTTGCTCTTTTTATAGTTTCCAACTCTGCTAAATGGTCACATCCCAATGCAAATTCCCAGCTTGGATGGGGCATCTTCTCCAGTTCTTCTTTCTCCAAATGCTCATAAATCCTGATGTCTCAGCAAACTAGGGACTCACTAATAAACTGGATTTGACACAGCCATTCTGATGGGTTTCATTTTTCTGGTAACACCAGGAGGACATGCTGAAACTCTTTTACTATGGTTTGCACTTTCCATTACACAGATGACCTACTTGTATGATGTTTATTTAGCATTTTTATACAGTGAAGGGTTTTTTGTATAAGAAATCTTTTGTGCATTAAAACAACTTATAATTTTTATATCCTGCTCTCCAAGTGTTGAACACTGTTAATGAAGTACTTTTCTTAATACATTTCTAAACAATATGTAAAGGATGTGAAATGTTTTACTTCTGTACTTCTGCATATTATGCATCATGCTTGTGTAAACTATAACCGGCTGTGCCTTCTTTTGCATAATGTTATATAAATGATTTATATATTTTCCAGTATTAAGATAAAGGTTGGAAAAGAACCAAGTATTGAACACTCTTCTCCCCATCCTAGTATTTCAGTATTCCACTTATGGTCAGCCATGTGGTGCAGTATATTCATGTAATTTTGAATTAAGCGCTTTCCAAATATATAAAGAATATTTCTGTTTACTTCCTGAACTGAGGGGCCATAATACTTTGGGCAGTGTGTTAAGAATAGAACACTATTTAGACATTAGTGCTTGAATTCTTATCTCTGATAATAGGAATATGGTCTTAAAATATTTGCAACGTATTTTAGGGGCATTTTTAAAATTAGAGGAAGTAGCCTTATTCAGTGCCACTATCTTTGTGTATAAATCTGATTGTTAAAAGAGATGTCAATCTAAAATTTATTTTTGTGAACAGGTAAAATTCTCACACGCTTCTTATCAGGGATGGAGAAAAGGTGTCTCCAATGGTACATGGACCAAGGCTTTAAGAATTCAACAGTTTTGATTTTTCAAGAAGTGTTTTAGTCGTGCTTACCAAAAAAAAAAAAAAAAGGTCTAAAAAGAAGATAGGTCCTCTCCATAACTGGGAAATAAACACTATAATACCCAGAATAAGCTTTAAGTGATTTTCTTTTTTCCCTCTTTTGTACTAACCTGATATTGAACATTGTGATTAAAAACTATCCAGGTTCTTGACCTCTTCAGTAGGCTAGAATTCTGAAAGCAGAAGAGAGTTTGCCACTTCCTAGATTATTATGACTGGTTCCCTGATGAAATACAAAACAAAGCAAAATTGAATAAATGTGGGTTGCAACACAGAAGCAGAGTATTGTGTCTCTTAGCTGTAATCTGAAAGATATCTTATACATGCATATTTTATGACCACATTAACAATATTCTAACAGAAAACACATTCAGGTTAAATAAAGAATCCAAATTTATGTCATATTTTCAAAGTCAGTGTGAAAATATTCTGCCTCTGTGCTCCAGCTTTGGCAAAAATGACAAATCTTTGGTTTCCTAGATTATGAAACTATTTTTTTTAATGTATTGAAGTAAAAGCATGAAGCAAAAATTAATATATTGCAACTGATCTTCACTTCACATTGTTTCCTAATGAGATTTACTTTTCCTTCTTCAAGGGAACACGTTTCTGCTATTTGAAGAGCCCACTGATTCCCAGACTTTTCACATGATTAGTATTCCATCACATTTTCTGGCATACGCTCACCATCCTCTTTTTGGCAAGGATGCATTGCAGTGTCAAAGTTACCACATTCTATACACGGAACACATTTTCATTGCCAAAAATGTTCTGTCTCGTGCACAGAATCTCGCTAGATGTTTTGGAGAATATTTGGACACTAGTCCTTTTATACATACTGATCCAAGAGTATCCTACACTAACTTCCTTCCTTATACTTCTGAAACTATATTCCTACATTCACTTCAAGTATGATGTCTCACTGCAGAAACCAATACAGCTATCACAAACTTGGAAAGGAATGTAATAATCTTACAGTTTGGAAGTTGTTAAGCTTAATAAAATAACTGGAAGCTTCAAAAATTTAAGAGTGAAACCCAGCATCTACACCTTTTCTGATTATGCAACAAGAACTGATCTTAAAACTCAGCTATTTTGGCAGGAAAACATTAAAAATAGTTTAGCATACTAGAAGCATTTGGAATCATTGAATTTCCATGCTAAAGAAAAAGAAGGAAAAGCATAAAAAAAGACCAATTATTGTAATATGATTTTATGGCATTTAAATAAAATAATTATCAAAATAAGCTATTGATCTATGCACATTAAAATCATGTAAAGAAAACTGTTCTAAACTTTGCTTGAAACAGGGCTTAAGCACCTGTACAATTGGTTTTGGGGCAGCAAATGACATGCTGCATCATTGTGTTAACAGTGTAGTATTTTATCCTTTGATTTATAGTATTTTACATCAAAAGTAGGCTATGTGATTTAATGGTATTCTTTCCAGTTGTGACATGTGGAACAATGCCATTACTTTGGCTACTTTGGGCTAGTAATGATAAGATATGGAAGTGAGATATGAGATTTAAACTGAAAAAGAGTTCATATCAGAAGCTTTCAGGTTAGTTTGTATAGTAACTGGGACCCTGGGCTTCTCTGCAAACTGTTAAGGGGCTGTGAGACTATGAGCTGTGAGGCCATCAGTAGTATACTGTAACTTTTATAAAAGCCAGAACATGAACATTCTGTAATAAGCTACATATTCAAAGCCATCTTTCCTCTCAAATTCATTTCCTTAAATACAAATTACATTAAAGAATAGTAGCTGGTTGTTAACAGTTGTTTGATGTCTTTCCAGGTGCTCCTAAATGCTGTATCTAATCCCTTCTCTCTCTCTCTAAACCTCATATGCCTTAATTAGCCTATAGTGGACTGGATGGAATCTTACTAGAAAAATGAAATCGGTAAGCCTTCCCTAATGGTACCCACCAGATCAGTCGAACTATTGCTCCTATAATTCTTGGTCAGCACTACATTTGGGCATTGTAAGGCCCCAGGTTGAGGAAGATTGGTTTAATTGTTTAGTGGAATATTTAGCAAGTCAATTAACAGCAATGCTCTCTATATATGTTTTTGCATACCTATAATGTGAGATGCGAAGATACTATAATAGAAAGATAAACAACATCATGGCTGCAAATACACTTCTGCATTTTCACAGGCAGTTTCTGTGGCAAACACAATGTGAATTACATGTTGACTCTTTAAAGTTACAAATATTTTGATGTGTTTGCTGTGTAAAAAATAAAGTATACCAAGCAATCATGTTTACTGGAAAATGGTGTGAAGTTTTAACTGCTTCAGTCAAGAAGAAATTATTCAAAGATATACAGGGAACAGACACTGTTATGCATTAATGTGGATGTCGTTTAACATAACTGTTTGCATTCCATTAAAGTATAAAGCTGGAAATTCTCCTTTTTTTTCTTGGTAATAATGAACCTTATTCTGAAACATACAGATTACTTAATTATAGTTATAAATAAAAAAGATGATGCTCCTTCTGTTGCACAATCCACAAGATTTGCTCCTGCAAGACACAGCCAAATATGTTTATTTGTTCACAACAGTTTTCAAACAAAACTTTTAAATGGCACCACTGTTAACACATACTGTACATCTGCTCTACCAAGTCAGATACTTCAGAAGATATTCATATTTGCATACAATCTTTTTGAAGTACAATTGACTAAACAAGATACCAACAAAATATCTATTAAGCCAGGCTTTCCCCCAGATGCGCTGCAAGTACAACTCTCAACTGGCATTGCATTATTGGCTAGGTATGCTGGGATTTGTAGCCCAGTATGACTAAAGGATGTCAGGAAGAGGAATGCTGCCTTAAACATTCCTGCTTTCCAACATAAATATCCTCTAACCCTGAAAAAATCTTTAATTATTTTAATTCACTCTTTACGTATGTAAACACTGGAATATCTTCAAGATATTTACTTAACCTACCTCACAGAGCTGTTGTGAGGATATTGTAATGCTTAGAAAAAAAAAATAAAAGATTGCATACATTTCAAGTAGCATTAATGAGAATAACACCGAGCCCAGTTGATAAGTGAGAAACTTATATTTATAGATTAGAAATGTTCAACAAATTCTTAAATAACAAATGTAACATTTGGTAATGTCATGTATAACAATTTCAATTCCTTTTCTATTAGCTATGAAGATTTTTGTTTTGCATCTCATCTGTTCCATTTGTTAGCATTTAATCCCTGTTTGTTAGAAATTCTGGTCAGAATTTCACGAAATTCTGAGGGCTGGGTTCAAAGTTCTCTTGAGCAAGGGGATTCCTGCTGGAGGAATGTAGAAGAACTTTTTGCCAATTCTTCCTCTTTCCTTAAGAGAAAGATGGTGAGGAGCTGCAAGGAGAGTAAGCAAATGTCATCTCAATTCCTCTTCCTTTGTGCAGAGTATTTTCCAGTCAAGGAAGGAACATATGTGGTTCCACCCAGAAATGGATGTGTACATTAGAAACAGATCAAATCTCTTAAACTGTAATAATGCTTTATGCAGATATATTAGTAGGAGAAATAACCACAATTCTGCTGAGTAAAAGGCAATTTCTGAGTTACTTCACGAGTTTAAAAATCGCATTTCCTCCCTGCTTTCCTGCTATGCCCTTATTGGTTGATGTCTTACTGGTTTGTCAAGCAGCAGTTTTCTAAACCAGTTTTGAATCTGGAAAGTTGGGTTTAAACCTTCTTTACAAACAACAATAGTGTATTCCAGATTCAACCAACCACAGTCTCTACATGTCCTCTGGCTACTTCAATATAGCCAAACTACATCTACAAACTAGTTTTTGTACAGATTTCACTGGATCAGTTGCTAAGTTTAAAAACACATAATACAGGGTGGGAAAGCTTAAAGCTTTCAAGGGAAGTCATGTTTAAAAATTAAGGTTTATTGTTGCTGAAAAGTGACAGGAAATCTTTCTTCAGTTCATCAATGATTTTGGGAAGTGATTTTAGGAAGGTGAGGGAACTGCAAAAAAGTTTCTCAAAGCTGCATGGTGGAATGCTAGTGATCATAGAATGTCTGAACACTATTGAAGATTTCCATATAATATTTATACTTTCAAAAGTACAAAATTAATACAGGTCCATCAGTTAGAAATAAACAGCAGTTGGTTAGCTCTACTGGGCTTCGCTAAGTGTAAAACCAGTTTACAAATGCTGAAAAGCAGCAGTGGTCCAATAGTCACCATTTTACATAAATTTGACTTCTTTTCCAGAAAAAAAATTCCCAAATTAATTTTTACTATTATCATAAAACATTAAGAAAACATTCCAAAACATGCCACAATCACTATTCACAAATAAAGTTAAAAGAAACATACAAAATCTTTCACTTAATACTGTTAAATAACAATAATCAACTACAAGATTTCCTGAACAGAAATGGTAGGACCCCTGAATGTTTTACAGTGAACATCAGGAAAAAAAAATTAAGTTATCTATGACTATTTTTCATGATATATCAGCCAAAGATTTACATAACCATTTCAAAATATACTAATAAAGATTTACAGCCTCTGGAAGATGCACTAAACAAAGAGGTTCCAAACGGTGAACACAAATGCTGAAAAATACTGTTCCTATCACCAGGAGGTACTTATGATACTCACTGAGATACGTAAGTTTAGTAGTACTGTAATATGATGACTTAACTCCAATAAACAGATAACATCTAAAACCTTTAAAACTCTCTAAGTTCTCATACTTGGTGGAGCCTGCAGAATAATGTTATATATTCTTTATTGTGGACTTGCATTCTTTAGTGGCTTTCCAGTGAACATGTGTTCGCAAAACAGCCACCAAAGCAGGTGGCAATTAGAGAATAGAGCTGGGTTGCATCGCACCCATAGTTTGCCTTGAATCATTAGAACATTTAGTGAAATACCACGTATTAAAAATATTCTAAGAAGTGTGCACTTTAGAAAAAATTAGAGAAGGGAGATAACAGTTATGAGTCACATACAGATGGTTTATCATTTCTGATATAAGCCAAAATAAGAGTTCTGGAACTTGATCCCAGGTAATTTTGCATTTGTTTGAATTAATATCTGTAGTAAGTGCTTTTAAAAGATATTTGGTAACATTCTAGTTACTTTACATCTAATGTTAAATAATACATTTTACAGGCCAAGAACTAGAGAGCGTTAAAGTGAATAGTAACTATTTAACAGTCAAGAGAGCTGTGTTTACATTCCAGGAAACATTGCAGTTAAAAAAACCAAAGATATAAAACTGCAGCAATAATCCAAAGAGAAACAAAGGCATTCACATAGCATATAAAGCCACCGCAACTCTTGCAGGCATTCAGTTGTTTCTTAACTATACAGACAGTAGTTATTTAGCAGCAATGATTACGCAATAAATAATGCACTGTGTTTCTCAGTCCTGCACAAAAATTGCAGCTACTGTTACATTAACAGTTGTAACCTACTGGATCTAATGGTGGAGGAGACCTTAAAATTGACTGTACAAAAATTTGTCACATTGTGACAACAAATATATATATTTATATATTAAAACAAAAAAACCAAAAAACCAGTAGGTCTGAAATAAAAAGACTGCACTGTGAGGAGGACAGTGTAGACAAACAGATTTCAAGTCCACCAAGGGAAGAACTGCTTTCAGATCAGAATCCTTGATGGAGGTAAAGCCAGCCTTGAGCTTGAAACAGCACTGCCCGCCTCAGAAAAGCATGCTTTGCCTTCTGTTCTTCCCATGTCCTAGAACATAAAACATGTATTTTGTTAAGGGATTCGAGTCAGCACAGGGCTCTGACTGTTTCAGTACACATTCATCATCACATGAGATAGCTTTAGAAATGAACTGAGCAGTTTCTGTGTGCATTATACTTAGAGTGATCTTCATCTAGTCTTGAGTCACACATTGTGCTAAGCTACAGTATAGTTTAGTTCTGGCTTAGCATGACCTCTGAATTCAGCCACTGTGGTTTGGAAATTTACCATACATGGCTCAATAGTATATGTGAATCCAGTCACTGTGACTTATCTAAACATCTGCATCTTAAAACAAATCATAGCTTAGCATGATGCATGGACCCAGCCATTCACAGAATGGACCTGATAACAACAGCATGTGATGCAACAGTGCCAAGCTACTTAGCAATGCCCTTTCCCTCTGTTACATAAGGAACTAGATCATAAAGAAAAACTCCAAATTTGTAAAACTCTTAAAAAAACTTGTTTAAGAAATCCACACAATTCTATTTATTTACCAGGTATGGCTTTTACTGCTCTATGTCATGCAATCCTGAAAAAGAAATGCAAATATTACTTGACATACCTGTCTCTGGGTAAGTGGAATTTCGAAAGCCTGGATCTTTTTGTAGCTGAATTTCTTTCAAAGTGAATATTGACACACCTGAAACAATACATGAAGTGACTTTTTTCCTGAGTAAGTGTCTCGCTTTCAAATTACATTATGGATCAAAAAAAAAGAAAAAGAAAAAAACTTGAAGTAACAGTATTTATAGAATATCCCAATCTGAACAACCCTGAAGGATTTGCAGGAACTGTAAGGATTTGCACACCACTTCACCAAAGAAGAAGAAAAGAGTACTGCTCTTTTATTTGTCATGATCCCTGCCTCCAATCCCAGCTGGACAAAAGCAGGAAGAGCTAACAGCTCAAGACTAACTTGATTTGAACCCAATAGTGGAAATCAGTAAAGGTCTCTCTAAGATGAAAGATACAGGGTCAACAGCTGTTAGTTTAAACTCAACCTAACTCAAGTGGATACAACTTTTGATTCCACACAATGTTTAGAAAAGTTCTTAATTTTCTGACCAAGTAAGGTAAATTCTCCTCAAAACAAGATGCCCAGCACATATCAATAACACAATAAACTTACTTTCTGGTAGGGTATGTATTCTAGTTCCAAGACTTCTGAAATATGCATGTTTCATAGCCTCTTCTGCTGAAATTCTTTTCTTTGATTCATACTGGCAAACAAAAGGATAAAGAATATTTTAAAGCACAGTTGATGGAGTATAGGTTTTGTTTACTTAAAATCCCAATGTCCAGTCTTTAGTACCTGTAGCTATAGAAGAGTTCAGGTAAAACGACTGGGAAAAACTTAGGGAACTGCTATCAGTAAAGGTAAACCAAAGGCCCCCAAACTTTTTGTCTTGGGGAGCACATCTGGAATTTTAATAATATGCACTCTTCAGGGGCCAGAAGCATGATTGGAAATAAAGTTTTAGAGGTGGGAGCTCTGCTTTGCAACATTACTACTTCTCATTCTTTTTAATGAAAAAATATTTAAAGAGGTAAAAAGCTCAAGTGGGTCAGGAAGCTTGACAGACACTAAGGGCAGTACCACTGGGTGCTTCTTGAGAACATCAGAAGTGGACAATACTGAGATAGATGAATTAATGGATTGACTTCATGGGCCAAGGTACCAATACTAAGCCATACTGTTTGTTATATTTTTGGCTTTAGTATATCTTATCCAAAGACCTGTTATTTAAAAAATTTGGCTTAGTACTATGTGTGAATGCAGCCCAAATAAGTTGGGTTCCACATACATACTCAGGCAAAAACTGTAGTATATTTTTCTTGCCTTTATTTGTGTATGTGTGTGCATATGCTAAATTAATTTTGCTGTTGAACTCCAAAATCTTTTAAGGAATTCATCATTTATGTAGGTTTTTCAGCATTTTACTATATGAAATCATCAGTTGAAGGAAGAGATCTTTACAATAAAAAAAGTTGCATCTCTATACAAGAGCAACATCTAAATAATGCTCTATTTTGAACCACAGTTAATTTGTATTCTTATAATCCACCAAATAAACAACTTGAAAAGTACTAATTGAAAGTACATGTATAAAGAATACAAAAAAGCAACTTACTTGAAGGAATTTTACTATCAGTTCAATCCCTTCTGAATCAAGCCTAGAAATAAATCATATATTCACTGTTTAGCCATTTCATATACACTTCCCAAATTGGATTCTAATAATCGAAATAATGTGTGTGCCTCTGCATAAGAGATACCTCCAATTTCAAAGTATCTTGAAGGTAATTATGGTAGCCTACTTAACACTAATAAGGTTATGTGTCTATCGCTATGACTAAATGCATTGTTTTAATATTATTATTTCATTGTATTATTTCATTAGTATAAAAACTAAAAAAGTAATCCTTTTAAGTAAACTGAAGTATCATGGAACTGGCATTGAAAATATATAAGCATGTATTACACATGCTTACCACCAAAGTAAAGTAGTATATTTTGAAAATGCAACATTTTTTATCACTAAATGAATATGAGTTCACATGAGCTAGAAAATAATTGCCTAATCTAATATAATTTAAATGGTGTAAAGGAGAATGTGTAGCAAACAGAAGCCTAAACGAATAAAATTAATCACTGAAATATGGGTTGTTATACACAGAATTACATTACTCTTTTAATTATCTAAAAGAATTGTAAAATACATAACAATGCATTTTTAAAGAAATAATGTTAATATATTCAGAAAGCACATGCTAGGTTATATTGCCATTAAGGTTTGCTGAAAAGTAAAAAAAAAAAAAGAAAAAAAAGGGAAATCTCATATCCCTGGAGTTGCGGCTTTTAATTTGCTTTCTTCCCTATACAGGGGCTGTCTTCAGCCTTCATCTGATCTCTAGAATATCACACAAGGGGACTTCTACTCATGCACTAGCAACATCTTTAGCTCTTTTCTCTTGTGCTTGCCAAATCTTCTCTGGAAGATCTCCCAACCCTCTTGAACAGAACTGAAGACTATTTGGGGGAAGGCAGATACAATCTGTTGGGGTGACTGATTGTTTAAAACTGGACTGCCACAACACTTAAAAAAAAAATAACAAACTACTATGACAAGATATCCAATAAGCCTATGTACAGCTACAGTTAAAATTCAGAACTTCAACAGATTCCTGGAATCAATTCTCACTTTTATAGCTGATGCCCTAGTTATAAAGGATGATGCTCCCTGAATTATTCACCAATTCTCTATCATTCTTAGAATTTATTTATTATTAAGATTGTTTTTATATTGTATTTTAATTGATTTTATCTCTTCTGTGAACCACCCAGAGTCACTTCAACAAGATGGGTGGTGACAAATTTGATATAAAATAAATAAATAAATACTATTAATTTGGATCATTAGCAGATATTTTACAAATTAAATTCTTCTACTGTTCTTTATGCACAGGTACTACAGCTCATTGGAGAAATATCCACTAAACAATAAGAATAATCAGCCATTTAGAAATAATCTTATAACATACAGAGTTCCTAGTTTTTTCAGACAGAACACTTATGATATATGTGGAGTCTGAACTTCAAGTACCTTGGAGCGTGGTTGATCAAAGGCTGTGGCTTGTACTTGGGAAAGTTGTAATTCCTAAACTCATCACTGGAAGTAATACCTGGCCATGTTTCTTGTGATGGAGTTCCTGAGTTGAAAGATTAAGCAAATTAACACAAGGAGTACTAATCATATGTAGGCATTAAAATACAATACAATACAATAAAATGTTGATTTCAACAAAATTACAGACTTGTAATATCAAATCATATCCCCCCCCCTTTATAAACAGATAAACATTGGAATTACAGTGCAATTCTAACATTTTCAGAAATTCTCTTAATAAGAGCAAAATAAACCCACAGCTGTAAACTAAACATATTTACCCAGAAGTCTGAAAATTAAGTGCAATTCATCTTCCACAGTTGACCCAGGAAAGAGAGGTCTTCCAGATGCCATTTCAAAAAATATACATCCAACTCCCCTTTAAGAGAGGAAAAGTTCAAATAAGCATTACAATGGAGATGACATTATTTAAATATATGGTTTTCATGATAGGTGGGATTGCCTACTTGACCTTACTGTATTAATGCTAACAAGAAGGACATATAACTGCCAATGAGTTAGTATCCCAACACTATATTATTGCTTTTTCCTTGGTTATGAAAAGTAATGGACAGGGTTTATATATATATATTCAATATATTGAATATAATATATTCAGTCTCACTACTGAGATTTCACATATGAAGATGTTTAAATTTCAGGGATTCCAAACAACTAAATCTCGGAGATTTTGAAAGTTTGCACTGTTTTCTTTGCCTCCTTCTTCCTCCTCCAGTTTCAAGTGTGAACTAGAGAAGCATTTCCAGTATTAATGTCTATTAACAAAGGTTACTATAGGTTAGAAAAAACATACTGAATGTTTAATCTGAATGAAAGCAAATAGGTCAATATTTGAGAAAGACATACCACATATCAATTTGTGTTGAATATTCAGAAGATCCAAGGAGAACATCTGGAGGCCTATACCATAATGTGACAACTTCATTTGAATAAGTCTTCGTAGGAACAGATTTTGCTCTAGCCAGGCCTTTAAAAATAAAGTGCAAAATTTATTTTATTTATTTATTTATCATATTTATATAGCTGCCCATCTCACACAAGGTGACTCTGGGTGGCGTACAACAAAATGAATTTCCCTAGCCCTATTCTAGCTTCCTTTAATTTCATATTATATAAAATTTTCACAGAAATTTTATGTGGTTCAGAAAGTATGACTGAGCATTTGCTTGCTGCTATATAACAGGGGCATTTATCTATTTTTAACAGACCAATGCTTTCTACAGAATGGCCATTAGATGCAGTCTCAGCTACATTTTGCTCAGCAACTTTGATTGGAATTAACCATGTAAACATATGCGTGAGTACAAACATACATGATACATTCTCCCTGCCTCTTTTTTTTTTTTTACTTTAGATGAGGTATCACTCATGTTTAGAAAAGCATGCACATATATTATGGGGTTACTACTACTAATAATGAGCCTGTTCCTTTTTGAGAAACACTTTTGTCATTTGACTGTGATGAGGCCTCTGCTAAACCTTCCCACCTACCCTAACAGCAATCTCCGCCAAACCCTTCCCTTTGAACTGTCCCTTTTCCCTTGCAAACTGGTGATTCAGGTAGAGATTAATCTCTTCCTGTATTGCCAGATTGCTTGCATTCCTCTCTGTGCATTTAGAAAGGGACAGCCTTTTATCAGTACACAAAGAAAATAAACCAAAATAAAGCAAAGGAGAAAGGGAAAAGAAAATATAAAGAAAAGGAATGTAAACAATGAAAACAATAAAATTAAATTCAGTTCCACATGTTCTGGCCATATCCACTTCTGAAAGTGGTCCCCAGGAGAAATAAATAAAATGTCTCTTGAGCTGAAATCCTGGCATGTATTCACAAATCCTATTAAGGAGGAAGTGCCTCTGGCGACCTTCTCCAATCTGGTGTCCACCCAATGACTCCTATTGGCCATCCAGTTTGAGTATGAAGGGAATTGTAAGCCACATCACCTGGAAGCAACACTGGCCTATGGCACAAGAGTTGCTTCATCAAGAAACTGTGTAAGACATTGTCTGCAGTACTACCGAGCATGACCGAAAAGTGCTACCGCAATGGGAGTCACAATGGGCCACGAAAGAGAAGATACCCTTGCACAGTAGAGTTTCTTTAAAAAACACACAGAAAGTGCCAAGTGCCCAGACAAGGGAAAAAGTGGAAGGGGCTGTTTTTTTTAAAAAAACAACAACAACAACTCTTCACCATAATGTCCAGAATGTTCCTGTGAGGCTGTAACAATTTCTACCTCATCCTGCACATTTGTGCTTTTGTGTGCTTTTCCTCCCAAGAAGAGCTTGGTCTTCCCCGTCACCTAAAAATTAATACTAGCTCTCAGGCATTTGAACAAGATTTTTGAGACCTGTAACACATATAGCTGGCAGATCAGAAAAGGAACATAATCTGTACTTCAAACTGAAAGAACACTGCAACATGCCTTTACAACCAGGTGAATTACATACAATTAGCAAAAAGCAGAGAGCACAAGAAATAGCTGAGGGAAAATGCTACGAAGCATGATGAGTTTTCATCATCATGATTTTGTGAAAGAGAAAAAAAGTCTATTTCTGAAAGAATTAGAACAAGAATGTGCTTCTCTGATAAAACAGCTAAACGACTGGCCCAAAGTTGAACGTGTTTGTCAGAATATCGGTAGTAGTGCTGAAGAATAGTGTAAATTCTCTTCCAAGAAGATTTTTAGGTTCCCAGGACTGTGTAGTCATGCATTAGCCCACAAAAAAGGAAGGAAGAAGGAAGAAGGGAGGACGTTAGTTAGTTAGTTTATTCGGTCAATGACCAGCAACATTAGCCCACAAGGAAACTATGCAGTGTGATGGCTCTTAAATCAATTGAGCAAAAACTCAGGAAATGTGAATTGTGGCTATCTCAGTATGCACATGCAGAGTCATATTCCTAAAACCAATGTAGGCATTCAAAGGTGTTCTTAGAAGTGAAATAAAGCAAATAATTTTTTCTAGTTAAAACAAGTTATTAGTTCTTATACCAACCAAAGTCCGCTAGCTTTAATTCTCCTCTTTCGTTAATTAGTAGATTCTGTGGCTTTAGGTCCCGGTGTAGTACTTTTCTTCTGTGACAGTAGGCCAAACCACGCAGAATCTGGTATAAAAATAACTGTAAAGGGGAGGGGGAATTAGTAAACCTTTCAGGAACAATAATGAAACCTACACTGGTTGAACCTCAGAGCTGCCAAGATAATAAAAACAGTATGTTTATGAATGCAAAGAAGAAAAAAATATTTGAAACCATAAGCTGTTTTCAGATGCTTAATATATCCAGATTGCAATTGGTCAATTTATCTATGTTACAGGATATAATTATTTTAAAATTTCTCCATATTGCCTTGCAATCCATATCTTGCTGCCTCTGATTATTTTCCCTTACCCTGCAGACATCTGTTTGAAATGCAGTAAAATCCAAACTGCAGGTTAAGCCTGCTGCACGATATAACAAACACCATTCCTAACAGTGCGTCTCTATCTATGTTTAATCGCATATCTCATACTTCCTCAGCCATGAGAAGTTTTATTTTGATCCAACTGTACCCCCATGCCTGTTTTTCTTACACTTCTGCAGTGCTTTTTCTCTGCATTTTTATGTCTGGCTAACACCTACGGCAACAGCCACATGCTCAAAGACACTGCACTCTTATATAAGAAACAAGCTCAGGGTTATTCTTATTCATTACATAAGAAATGCACGCACAATACCTTAACATTCTGCCATATATTTTAGTGCTCAGGAATAGTTTGCAAAGTGGTTTTAGAACAAAAAGCTTCTTCCTGGGATTTGCAAACCATTTTTCAAAAGAGGTCTGTAAACCATTATGTTCTCAGTGCTCTTCATGAACCTTCATTATTATGTCATAGTGGGCTACCCACCTTTGTACTCATTCTTAGTGCCCTGGAATAAAATGCTGGAATCCAGCACAGAATATTTTTTCCTCATTTTTTTGAATCAGTGCTTTCATGTCTCCAATTCTACTATCTCTGGATAGCAGGACACACTGCATCAAAAATGGGCAAGTTAAAAAACAAAACCCTGCTCCGAAGTGATAACTGCTAATAACAATTATTAACCATTTGCACAGTGACTGGATTATATATTTTCTTTGCCTTGTTTTATTCTTGCCTTTGATCCAAGATGTGCAGGAAAAGTGCATTTCCTCCTATTTATTAGCTTCCCACTATTTGTGCTGGAGGTGAATTATGGCAAGGGATAGTGACTCACCCAGAGGCACATTAAGAAACTACAAGCCTGAGCACGGCTTTGAATGATTTCTCATGCATAAACTCAAATGTTCTAGTCTTAGACAATAAATGTCCTGCTAGGTCATATATATAGGCCTTTGCCCACTTCCGTGTGGTACATTAGTTACGCCCTTTCCTGGATCAGGAGGCTCTCTGGTCAGTCACTCACGCCCTGGTCATATCTCGGCTAGACTACTGCAATGCGCTCTACATGGGGCTACCTTTGAAGAGTATCCAGATGCTATAGCTGGTTCAAAATGCAGCCACGTGGACATGGGCCCCAAGAATGGCACATGTAACACCTTTATTGCATAAGCTGCATTGGGTCCCAGTCTGCTTCCGGGTCCAATTCAAAGTGTTGGTTATCACCTTTTAAGCCCTACATGGCATGGGTCCCACCTGGTCAGGCAGAGAGGGCATGCTGTGGATCCCTCAGCAAGAGAATGTCAGCTGGCGGGGCCCAGGAGGAGAGTCTGCTCTGCTGTTGCCCCTGCCCTTTGGAACAGTCTCCCCCCAGAGGTGCAGCAGGCCCCTATCCTCCCGGTCTTCTGGAAAGGATTAAAGACCTGGCTCTGCCAGCATGCATGGGGTGATAATCTTACCCAATCCTGGGGGTGGCTAGCACCTCGATGACGCTCCCTGAGTGACTGCCAATTATTCTTGGTTCTATTTATTTTCTACTTATTAACAGTAGATTGTAATTTTGTCATTTTAATTGATTTTAACTGTTTTACAAACTGCCCAGAGTTGTTCAACAAGATGTGCGGTGACAAATTTGATATATAAAAATAAATAAAAATATATGGAAAACTGAGAGCGAAATAACATTACTCCCTCAGGACCAAAGGAGTTTAGGCCTAGACCTCTCTGTTCCACATCCAATATACTACCTGGCCACATTAGCACTCAATGCCATTTAAAAGGAGACTTCTGTGGTCATGTGATAACTGCAGACTCACACTAGTTCGATGATGGTTCATTTCACTTATGTAAGTACTATGAAAAAGCAGGATATTAATATCTCTTTTTCCTATAACCATTTTCTAGCGAACCCAGGGAACTGGATTATAAGATTACTAGACTACTAGAGTCTACCATGTCAGAAAGAATTCAGTCTGTTTGTCCACCTAGCCAACACTGTCTACTCTGACCACCAGCACTTCTCCAGAACCTCTGGCAGAGGGAAGACTTTTTCATTTCCTACTTCCTGTTCTTTTTTATAACTGAAAATACCATGTAATAAGATGGAAAACACTGGGAGGTAAATCTTGCCAAACTGAACGGAGGAAGGGAACCAACTGATAGCATTAAATAGGTTTCACAGATCTTGCCAATTTATCCATAATGTTAAAGAAAAGATAGATTTGTACACTGTGAGCTATATTTGTCACACAATAGTAATCTTTTTTTTTTTTCTTGATAGACAGCCATGTATCTTTCAATATGCATAGTTACAAAACTATGGTTATCCAGTCACACTGCTCCCTAAATTTACTCTAGAAATAGTCTTCTGTTCTCTTTTTTTAAAAGGATTTTTTAAAGGATGTTTTGTTACCTCCTCAATCTCTGGATAAACTTACCCATAACAGAAAGTTAAAATATTCATATTTGGAATCTATTAATGCCACTATTAGATGTATATCAACAGGATTTCAAAGAAGAGTTACTATATTTTCCCTACCCCCACCTTGCACCCATCCACAGAGACACCAAAAAAGACCCTACAGGGTTAAAGTTGGAGACAACAACAGTTGGAATAATTATATAAGCCAAATTTCATGATGTTCTAGTACATTATGCTGTCGACCACATTTATTCTGTCAGCTGTTGTTTATCAAGCAAATTGCTCTTGCTTGAAAGAAAATATAACAATATAAAAAGTGTTGCGTCTATGAAAAGGCAAGAACTGATTTATGAAACCAAATTCCTTAAATATTTATAGTAACAAGTCAAGTTCTCATAGCCAAAGTTTAAGTATATTTTAATAATGAAATTCATTTTCTGAAGGAAAAATATTTAGAAAAATGTATGAACATCAGATGGCATTTGCACTAGGAAAAATTCAAATTAAGAATTAGAGATTAGGACCCACCTTTACATTATGCACACTCATAATGTTCCCACAGTCATCCATATATTGCTTTAGGTCTTTGTCCTGACAAAATAAAAATAATTTATTTGAAACTTAAGAAGGCATATTATTTATTGTTAATTATTTACTTTTTAGATTTATATCCTATCTCTAATTCAGGACAAATGGAAGTAATGTATGTTACAAGATAGCTCTAAAGTATGTATTTAAAATTCTGAATTAGCCTGTGTAAAAGGGTCACAGAAGGTAGTTACAATGCTAGTCAATGTTAAGAAATTAGCACTGCAACTTTTGATTAATTCATTGTTTCATCAGCAGAGACAGATGATTAACTAACAAAAACGTTTTAGTTGACAAACCTACTTCCAATTTTAATCAGCATTTGAGAAAAAAAGGTTTTTGCCTTAAGCAATAGAAAACAGCTCCATATACTTTTTACTTTTTGCTCACTTGAAAATAATTAAATGGATTTTTAAAAAAAATCCCAAGGGCAAAATGATGAAATAGTATATCAAGGTAGTGTTTAAAGTATTGTGCTTAAATATATATAATGTATGCATGTAGAGCATGACTTCTGGAATTCTTTCCTATCTGTGCTCATAACACGCACCTATATTTTCTTCTGTGTAATAAAGTAACATGTTGCATCTGCTTTCACCTTGTGTTACATCTATGAATGTTTGTGTGTATGTGTGCACAGGGAAGGGGTGCACTGCATGTACTGTATTCTGTATCACATTACTAAGAGGAGGCTTAGAATAGGGGAGCTGGCAACATTAGGAGCAGCTGCCCAACTGCCTCTCCCAAACAGATGCACTGGAGAATTGGGGGGGGGGGGGGT